GAGAAATCCAGACAGGCTTAGCTCAATGTTGGGAGCAACATGCTGCATCTTTAAAGCAAGTTCCAGGCATTGAGGTGAGATTCTTGCTGGGCGCCAGTAACGAGGGGGAAGAGGAGGAAGAGAGAGGAAGAGATGATGATGATGATTAGGGTTGAGGAAGCTCTCCTTGTTCATAATTTAGCTCAGCTGCATGTGATACTACAATCCAGGCAGGAGCTAACTGAGGCCTGGTGCCAGTCACTGAGAGCTGGGTGCAGCAGACTCAACATAGAATGTAAAATAGTCATTGGTCACAATGCCAATGTTTGGGGGGTGAACTGCAGCCTGTGTTAATACTGCGGGTGTTTGCTTTCTCTGACTAAAAATAAAAGCCCATGCTTCGAATTGTTTGAGTGCCTGTTTGTGATATTCCGTGACTGGGCAATGACAAGCTTCAGGTGTTTAGTGGACACTAGGGACAGGGTGACAGTGATTCAGAGCTGAGAGTTTAGGCTCGTATGGAAGGGAGTGTCAGCCATGTGCTGTACCATTATACTGCCAGTGAGGGATAGAGATAGCAAGAACTGCAGATGCTGGAGTCTGATGCTGCCTGCTGTGTTCCTTCAGCTCCACACTGTGTTGACAATGAGGGATAAAGGTGGATTGCCAACACTTGTCCACACACTCAAGGTGGAAGCAGGAACGATGGCTCCTCTAGCTTGGGTAGGTTGGGGGATGGGGGCAGTGAGGGGTATTAGAAACTGGGAGACACTCTCAGGATAAGGGCCAACCAGTTAGGATTGAGATGAGGATGAATTTCTTCACTCAGAGGGTGGTGAACCTTTGGAAGTCTCCACCCCAGGGGAATGTGGACTCTCAGTTATTCAGTGTGTTTAATATGAAAAGACATCATGGGATGTGGGGATGGAGTGGAAATATTGTGTTGCTGGAGAAGATTGACCGCGATCTAGCAGGTTTCAGGAGTGAATTGTGTCCTCTTGCCCATTTCCCTCAATGTTGGGATGATGCAGTTCCTGGAAATTCCGAATTCGGCGATTTAGCTGTCAACATGTTCTGAGCTTGGTTGCAAATGTTGGGTTATGATGCTGTTGCCATGGCGCCAGCACACATAGCCTTTTGTCATTTTTTCTGTTGATAACATATTGCTATAGAAACACTACTCGCTAAGGAGACCCCATCATACTTCAGAATATGGAATAATCCAACCGTTCTATTCTAAATAAATTTCAAATGACAATCAGCTCAATCAATTTGTTTCAACACTGTAACAAAATAAATTATCATTGAGTTGAGATATTTACATTTTCAGTCTCATTGAGCTCTTTCTGTATTTCTGCTGTTCTCTTTCTCTTGTATTCTCTACCCTTCTTCCCCCACCTCTGTTCCTCACACTCTATTTCTAATTTTCCATTGACTCAATGATCAATTTCAGTCTTCAGTGAAGAGTGTGTGGTGCCCCTGTCTGAGCTCTAGATTCCAGGTTCTACTCCCAACTCCAGGAACTCATGTTCCAAGAAAGCACATTTGTCACAGGAATGATCTTCTACCATCACTACCCAAAGCTCCAGAGTTATAGCAGGCATGTGGAAGTGTATGCTGCTATAGCAACACAGATTCCTGGGGGTGAGATTGACATGTTGATCAGCATGTGTAGTCCCAGCAGCTGCCCAGGAACAGCTGAGCAGGTTACTGAGCTCCCTTCGAATCCCCACACTCTCCCATTCCTCATCCATACCATCCAAAGCTCGCTACCCAGCCCCACGGCATCTCATACTCCCCCCATGTCACTGTATGCCCATTCACCCAACCCACATGGCTCAACTGCCCATGTTACCCTATCTCCAATAATCCCTCATCGCCCCATGTTAATTTAGTTCCAATCCATCAAACAGCCTTTTCCCCTTCACCTCCTGTGCCAACTCACCTAGTATCACTAAGTACCCATACTTACAGGAAAGAAAGTAAATTTCTGAGACTTAAAGATCCAGTTAGCACATTTCACTCTGTTGAGAAAAGCACTCTCACCCATACAAGCCCAGTTTGACAGGTCTTGACAAGGTTGACACTTATAGAGTAATAGAGTCATACAGCACAGAAACAGACCGTTCGGTCCAACCAGTCCATGCCAAACATAATCCAAAACTAAACAAGTCCCATCTGCCTGCTCCTGGCCCATATCCCTCCAAACCTTTCCTATTCATCTACCTATCCAAATGCCTTTTAAATGTTGTAATTGTACCCACGTCCACCACTTCCTCAGGAAGTTCATTCCACACATGATCCAGCCTCTGTGTAAAAATTTACCTCATGTCTTTTTTTAAATCTCTCTTCTCTCACCTTAAAAATATGTCCCCTAGTCTTGAAATCCCCCATCCTAGGGAAAAGCCAAGTACCATTAACTCCTGCCCCTCTCTAGCCTCTCTGCTCCTATGATGCTGCTTGACCAGCTGTGTTCATCCAGCCCTGCACCTTGTTGTCTACCATTAACTCTATCTATACCTTTCATTATTTTATAAACTTCTATCAGGTAAACCTCCTATGCTCCAGTGCAAAACGTCCCAGCCTATCCAGTCTTTCTTTATAACACAAACCTACCATTCCTGGCAACATCCTGGTAAATCATCCTTCTAAAACCTGTCCAGCTTTAAAATATCCTTCCTATAACTGGGCAACCAGAACTGGACACAGTACTCCAGAAGTGGCCTCACCAATGTCCTGTACAACTTCAACATGACTCCCAACTCCTGTACTCAAAGGACTGAGGAATGAAGGCAAACGTGCCAAACGCCTTTTTAACCATCCAACTATGTGTGACACAGACTTTAAAGAATTATGTACCTGCACCCCTAGGTCCCTATGTTCTACAAAACTACCCAAGGCCCTACCATTAACTCTATAAGCCCTACCCTTGTTTATTGTATCAAAATGCAATACCTCGCATTCATCCAGATTGAACTCCATCTGCCATTTTCCAGTCCATTGACCCATTTGATCAAGATCCCTTTGTAATCTTAGAAAACCTTCTTCACTGTCTACAATGCCACCAATTTTGGTGTCATCAGCAAACTTACTAACCATGCCTTCACTATTCTCATCCAAATCCTTTATATAAATGACAAACCAATCCCTGTGGAACACCACTGGTTACAGGCCTCCAGTACAAAAAATAACCCTCACCACTACTCTGTCTCCTGTCATTAAACCAATTATGTATCAAATTGACAAGCTCACCCTGAATCCCATGTGACCTAACTTTACTAATTAGTCTACCATGCAGAACCTTGTCAAACGCTTTACCAAAATCCAAATAAACAACGTCTACTGCTCTGCCACCATCAATCTTTTTGGTAACTTCCTCAAAAAACTCAATCAACTTTGTGAGACACAATCTTCCTTGCACAAAACCATGCTGACTATCCCTAATCAATTTTTGCTTCTCTAAATATCCATAAAGCCTACCTTTTATAATCACCTCCAGCAATTTACCCACAACCGAAGTCAAACTCAAGGGACTATGGCTCCCAGTTTCTCCTTACAAACTTTCTTAAACAAAAGTTTAACATTAGCCACCCTCCAGTCATCAGGATCCTCACCCGTAGTTATAGATGATGCAAATATTTTTGCAAGGGGTCTCGCAGTTACCTCTCTTACTTCCCACAACATTCTGCTTCTTGACAGGTTTGACAGTTTATTGACAGGTTGACAGTTCCAAGTGGTTTTAGGAACAATCATCTCAACTATTAACAATCCCAAAGTATAAGTGAACAAACTTCCTCCCCCCACTCTACCCTACCAACAAAGGTCTCCTGGGACCATATCCACTATTTTACCAGCAACTCTCCAAACAGAAACCCTGGCTGTCTAAAAGAATTGACCTGAAACTGACCTGTGTTGATTTGGTCTATTCTGTACATTTCCGGTTTCAGACAGTGGGATCAACAAAATGGATTTAAATGGAGGGGCAGCTGGTCATTTAAATGGCCAGTTGTTTCCAGGGACCAAGGATACCTGAATCCCAAACTGTCACAAAACCCGTCACCTCAAAAAGATGGGAATTTCAACTCTTGAGTATTTTCGGCATATTCGCCAAGATAGAGAGGTTCCTGGTCCTGGTGATAGTCTGGGTCGTCTAGGTCTGTTCATTGCAGTAGGCTAGACCCTGATTTACACCCATTGTGTGTTTGAGAAAATACCATTTCTTTCTGCAGGTTCTAGATACAGACTCTTGGACAAAGTGCAGACAGAGGCTACACTGAGACTATGTTCAGTGCTCAAACAAGTTGGACACTCCTTCTCAACAGTCATACACTCATACAGTTGTACAGCTGGAAACAGACCCTTTGGTCCAACACGTCCATGCCAACCAGATATCCTAAATTAATCTAGTCCCATTTACCAGCATTTGGCCCATATCCCTCTAAACCCTTCCTATTCATGTACCATCCAGATGCCTTTTAAATGTTGTAATTTTATCACAACCCACCACTTCCTCTGGCAGCTCATTTCTTACACGCACCACCCTCTGCATGAAAAGGTTGCCCCTTAGGTCCCTTTTAAATCTTACTCCTCTCACCTTTAACCTATGCCCTCTAGTTTTTGACTCCCTATCGTGGGAAAAAGACCTTGGCTATTCCCCCTATCCATGTCTCTCATGATTTTATAAACCTCTATAAGGTCACCCCTCATCCTTCATTGCGCCAGGGAAAATATCCCCAGCCTATTCAGCTTCTCCCTATAGTTTAAACCCTCCAACTCGAGTGACATCTTTGTAAACTTTTTCTGCCCAAAACATTCTGTAATCAGACACGATTGTGAGAAATCTTCATTAGTTTAATTTTTATTTGTTCCTAACAACATGTTAAATATTTTAATAATTTATATCACACAGCCATTGAATGGTTGATTAAATAAAACAACACAGAAGCCTTGAGTTGATCTCAGCATTTCTCCCTGATTGCATGTAATATGTTACTGTCAAGGACTGGGATTTGATTTACACAAATTTCAATGTGTCTAATAATTTGCACCTTTAACAAAATGTATGCAAAATATGCATATTGTACAAGATAGAACCAATTTTGAGGAAGTAAATTTATTGGGGAGTCACTCTTTCTAAAGCTGTTGAGTCAAGTGAAAATGTCAGGAATGAGGTTGTTTGTACTTCTTTGGGGAAAAATATTATAGATTACAGAACCAAGGCTGCTTGATTGAGTTAAAAAAGAGGTCAGCTATAATCAAACTGAACAGCAGAACAGACTGAGGGGCTGAATAATCTCCACCTGTTCTATTACCATTCAAGTGTGCCTCAATGATTTCTCTTTCTTACTTAAAAGTATTACATTGTAACTTTACCTTTGAAGCTTTGCAAATAACTACCTGTCTATAGGCAAGAAAGGTTCTTACAACAGAGTGATGAGTTATTGGTATTTTTGATGGGGTTTCAGTCAGTTCCTGCCCAAGGATAATTACACAATGGCAGTAATGCCCACGAAAACCTGTCACATGCTCATAGTCCATGAGTCCTGTTCGTTTCCTGCTCATTGTCCCTCAAACAGGAAGCTAATGACAAAACTCAGCTTTGTCCCATTGGTGAAGTCAACTCACAAACCACATGAAGGGGTTGCAACTGTAATGTAGAACTGCAGCCAGTAAGCAGCTCCCCTTGCATCTTAAACCCACTGCCTTCATTTACACCGACTCACCACACACCAAACGAGATAGAGACATTTGCAAACTGCTGGCACATCCAATCTCAAAAAAACGACCAGACTACAAAGGAGTTGTTTCTTTAAGGGAAAGCTTATCAGAGATCATTGTCTGATTCCATCTCTGGTTCCTGGAGTTTTCCTTCTTCAGCTCATTCATCCCAGGGTGCGGGGAGCCCTCCTCAAAAGTCTTCATCCCAACCGGAGAACTCATCCATGGGCTCTTCAGTCTCTGGAGTGAAGCTATCAAAGTTGCTGTGATCCACTGGTCCTTTTAACTTAAGGAAAAGGATCAGGAAAAGGTTATGAGAGAATGATACTGGGGTTAAAAGGGGTTAGAGCAGGAGGATAGACTGCATAGACTAAGCTTGCATTCCTGAGTATTGAAAAAACTGAGGGACTCTAATTGAATTGTTAAAGATAATGAAAGGATTAATAGATTGTTACGGTTCACTCAGGGTCATTGGGGATGCTGAATAGCTGTGGCAACGTACTCTTTGATCTGAATGTTGTAATCTGGAACTATTGATAGTAAGAGAGGCTCCAATGTATTCATTCAAGGAATATGGGTTGTCATTGGCTGGACCAGCATTTATTGCCCATCTCTAACTGCCCTGGAGAATGTGATGGTGAACTGCTGCAGTCTGTCTGCTGTAGGTAACCCTGCAATGCCATTAGGGAGGGAATTATAGGATTTTAACCCAGTGACACTGAAGGAACAGCGATATATTTCCAAGTCATGATAGTCAATGACTTGGAGGGGAGCTTGCAGGTGGTGGTGTTCCCAATGGCATTCTGCTGCCCTTGGCCTTCTTGATGTGGGTCTGGTTAGCTCACTTGGTTGAATAGATGGTTTGTAATGCAGAGTGAGTTCAACAGTGTAGGTTCAATTCCTGAACTCATTGAGGCTACCATGATAGGTCCTGCTTACTCCACCTCATCCCTCACCTGAGGCATAGTGACCCTCAGGTTAAACTCATCTCCAGTCCACACTCTGTCCATTGACAGAATGGGACTATGGTAGCTTTTACCATTTTGATGGTCATGAGTTTGGAAGGCACTGTAAAGGAACGTTGGTGAATTTCTGCAGTGCATCTTGTAGGTGGTACACACCGCTGCTACTGAGTGTCAGTGGTGGCAGGAGTGGATGCGGTGCCAATCAAGTGGGCTGCTTTGTCCTGGATGGTATCAAGCTTCTGAAGCATTGTTGGAGCTACACCCATCCAGGAAAGTGGGGAGTATTCCATCACATTCCTGAGTTGTGCCTTGTAGCTGGTGGACCGTCTTTGGGGAGTTAGAAGGTGAGTTACTTGCTGCAGGATTCCTAGCCCCTGACCTGCTCTTGTAGCCACAATATTTATATGGCTAGTCCGGCTCAGTTTTGAGTCAATGCTAACCCCCAGGATATTGACAGAACTTGGCTGACCAGCAGTTCTTGTTGCCCAAACCTTATTGGGATCTGAGATAAAGGAAAGGGCAGATCGCTGGAAAGTTACAAGCCATCGTAGCCTGTAGAATGAGAAGGGAAATGTCAGAGAAATTGTGGGATTATCATGTATTGATATGGGCCATTGTGGCTGGGACTCTGACAGTGTACCTGTTGAAGGCCCCTGACTGGAACAGATTGTAAAATGAGGCCGTGGCAGAGTTTGGTGATTTTTCACTCGGGAAACAGGTAGGTAAGGGGAGGAGACGATGGTGAGGGCAACAGACTGAACAAAAAGATGGAAAATTACTGACAGGGGAGATCAGCTGAGTTCAGGTAGAGAAGGCAGAGAATCCAGGAGGAGGAACTGACAGTTCAAATCTGCTCAAGAAAAACAAAGTGGATTCAATCAAGGAGGACAACATTGGAATGTGAAGCCGACATTTATTCTGTTCTCTCTTTGTTTTTAGTTTCTTCCCCTTGTAAATTGTTTTGGACTTTGAAGGGAGAAGTGAAGAAATTTAACTTTTCGACACTGACAATCTTTGTTAGTGTTCATGTAAAAAAACATTAAAAGATAGACAGGTAAGATGTTTGAGGAATCTAGAACCAGGGGTGCAATTTAAAAGTAAGGAGGAAGCTATTACAGATAAGAATAGGAGAATATATTTTACTCAGAGGGTGGTGGATCTTTGGAATTCTCTGCCCCAGAGGACTGTGGAAGCTTAGGATATTTAAAGAAGAGATGAATAGATTTCTGCTTACCAATGGAGTTAGTGTGGGTAAATAATGTGGGATCGTGTTTGATCAGCTGTGATTGCAATAAATGGTGGAGTGGGTTTGACAGGCTTGAAACTTCCCTGCATTTTCACAAATATTTTCCTTATTTCAGAAATGAGAAGAGCAACATAAAGGGGTATGCCCAACTCAGAGCCAGTGTGAAGCCAACATTTACCTCTCTTTGAAGAGTAGACTTCATCTTCCGACTCCAGAGTCCTTCCCAGTCAAAGCCTTGAAACCACCTAGAACAGAATGAATGACGCCCACGGTGAATTTGTGCTGATTACCAGGCTCAAAAGTAATTAATTCTGCTCAGATCATTCACATGAAGTAACAACTGCCAATGAGAAACTGGCAGCTCGCACCTTCTCTGAGAACAATATGCCGATTCACAAAGCAAGGACAATAGCTTTCTTCCACTGAAGATCAAAGCTTTTGTTGCCCAATAACTGAATAGTGCAAAGTGCTTGGATTTTTACCTTGATCTTTCCTGCATGGTTTGCATTTATAAAACGCCTCACCCATGTAAATGTGTCCAAATGCCTCACAGCTGTAATTATTTTTGACAGAGGTTTTCTATGGCGAACTGAGCTCAAAGATCAGAATCTCAAACACTTGGGAAAGGAGCCAGATTTGAATAAAAATGGGAGTAAAAATCATCCTTAATCTTTCAAAGTCTCCCTCTCGCTAACTGCCTGGTTGGCGTTCGCAAATCAATGGCTTGTTTCCCACCATGTAGCTAGTCCCCCAGCATCAACAACATGTTCCTCTCAATAACATTCTTTGTTCTCACATTCTTTTCTTTCTCTCTCTCTTCCTTTCTCCTGGACACTATGTGGCCCAGGTGTGATGTTACTGGAAGATCTATGAATTAAAAACAAAAGTAGAAAGTGCTGGAGAAACTCAGAAAGTTTGGCAGCATCTGGAGAGAGAAAGAAACAAGTTAACATTTTGGGTCCAGTGACCCTTTGTCAGAACTCGTTAATTACTCATTAGAACTTATTAACTGGACTCTGCTTATGATATAGTGGTGGCTGCTTTTTGGTTGAATTTTTTTCACTGTCAATTCAAAGTTTCTGATCACCTTCTCTGTATCGGTCCTGTTGTTACACAGATTGTACAGAACAGAATCACAGTCAGCCCAACTGGACATTTTCTGTGCCTCTGTAGATCATACTACTCCTGTCTTTCTCAGCGTTTATCCAGCTTCCTCCTAAAATGTAAGCAAGGGGTTGAAAGGTTATCAGTAGTAGGTGGGAACAGGGCATAGCCTCAAAGTGAGGAGGAGAAGATTTAGGACTGAGTTGAGGAAGAATTTCTTCACCCAAAGGGTTGAAAATCTGTGGAATTCCCTGCCCTGTGAAGCAGTTGAGGCTGCCTTGTTGAATGTTTTTAAGACAAAGATAGATTTTTGAACAGTAAAGGAATTAGGGGTTACGGTGAGTGGGCGGGTAATTGGAGCTGAGGCCACTAAAAGATCAGCCATGATCTTATTGAATGGTGGAGCAAGCTCGAAGGGCCAGATGGCCTACTCCTGCTCCTATTTCTCATGTTCTTATCAATTAGAAGTTACAATCAGATCAAAATAATACAGCAGACTCGAATGGCCGAATGGCCTACTCCTGCTCCTGTTCCTGTTCTATATGTTTGTATCAACACTCAACCATACCCTGTGGGAGCAAGTTCCATATTTTCCCTGCTCTCGGGTAAAGAGTTTCTCCTGGATTCCCAACAGGAGTTATCTACATGAGACTATCCCACATCGATGGCCCAGTTACAGCTGCTTTGTTTTACGTTTGAGTCGTTTTTACAATGAATTTTGTGTTGATCAAGGTGAAGATCACTATTAAGGACTTTGCTCCCATTCATTCCCAGTGCAGACCTAGCGAGGCTGACAGAGCAGGTTCTGCACTGCTGATATGAACATTGCCCACAGCCACTCAGTTCACAAACCTGGCCATGCAGTGTCTGGGGATTTGCTGTTGATGGCATGGGGATGTTACCAGTCTGAGAGGTCAGGTGTGGCTGCCTTTCATACAGCACAGTGGTGACTCTGACTGAGAATGTGGTGAACATTAGCTGACGAGTTTGTCAGTGCAGCCCAGTGCAGAGGAGTGCTATTTGCTCTCAACCTTGTTTGCAGGAACAGGGGGAGACCAATCAGTCCCTCCTGTTTAGTCCATCATCCAATGCGATCATGCCTGATCTGTATCTTAATTCCAATTACCTGCCGTGGCTCTAAAAGCCTTGCCACCCGTCTCTCCTCAAAAATTCATCATGCTCAGATTTGAAATTTTCAACAGGCCCTTAGCCTTTTACTGATTTTTTTTAGACATCCACTCGCCCTTTCTATGAAAATCTGCTTCTTTGCATCACATCGTTTCAGCTTACTCCTCCTTTTCTCCTCTAGCTCCCACCAACACCCTCATTGCTATGCAAAGATCACAGGTCTGTTCATCGAATTTCCATTTAATTATCCAATCACTTACTTATGTTTCCGTATATCGTTTATTCCATTCTTCTTGTTTCCTAATCTCTCTGTTGGATTAGCTCTGCACAATTATTAAACAGACTGGTTAAAATATGAACACGGTGCAAAAATCAGTTTCAAATCTGTAATCTGTTCAGCAAACACAAACACACCATAATTAAAATGATAGACTTCTCTTTGAAACATGAAGCAAAAGTTCCATGTGATACTTAAAATGTTGGAAATAAGCAGCAGGTTGGATAATCTCTGGAAAGTTAAAAAGGTTTTTCGTCAAAACTGAAATGACTCATTCTGATGAAGACTAACACATTTACTGAAAGTGACTCTTAATTCCTGTTAGCTGGCTCCCTCGGACTGATGCATGTGTTAAGAATTTAGGTTGAAATTGGGGATCAATCCCGTGTAAGAAAATCTTGCAGTTACATGAAATTCCTCAGGATAAATTTGCTGGAAAATCATGGCAAGAGGATAGATGGAATGATGTTTCAGGCTAACTTAAGAGATAATTTGCAAACTGCCATTAGTAGGTTGTGAGACCTGATGAAACTTAACAAAACAAGCAGAAAAAGACTTTCAGAATCACAAGGATTGAAATCAATGCAACATTTGAAGATGATTGAAGAAAGTTAGAAAACAGAAGGCCATAATTTAGTAATTAATTGAAGACAGTGGTGGAAAGGAGTAAGGACCAAGTGGAAAGATAAAAGGTAGTTCATTAGTGAGAAGTTGAATGAATGCATCATGAAAATCAAGGCACAGCAGAGGAAGGCTCTTGGGGTGCAGTGGTAGTGTATATCCCTCTGAGACAGGAGGCCCAGGTTCAAATCCCATCTGTTCCAGAGGTGTGTAATAATATTTCTGAACAGTTCGATTAGGAACATATCGAAGGCATGGCAGATGGTTTAAATGGATTCTTCACATTAGCCTTCACAAAGGAAAGAATGTGGACTCTAAGAGGATGAGCTGCTGGTGTAGTGGTAATGTTGACAGCCAGCTAATCTAGAGGCCTAGGCTAATGCTGTGGGGGTCACTGGTTCAAACCCTGCCAGAGCAGCTGATGGTGTTCAGATTCAATTCCTATAGCCAAAAGCTATTTTCAGTAACATTGCCATTAATTGTTGTAAAAACCCATCTGATGCACTACTGCCCTTTAGGGAAGGAATTCTGTTGCTCTGGGCTGATGTGTGTTTGCCTGTAGCAGGGTATCTTTTCCTTGAAATGGCAATACTTACGTTATCCTTTGTAACATAAGAAACTAATATGTACAAGACATTACATTCTCAGGCTCATCAGTGTGTCATGCTTCAAGTGTTTGAGTTTAAGAAGGAGTCTGAGATCTTTATGACCTCAAGTCACATGTTGTGATGCAGTAATGATATCATGAACATGTCTCTTAAAAGTATAATTGAGATACCATGGTTCCAGAGGGCTGCTCTTCCATTAGAGAGACAACCAGTGGTGGTTTAACCTGAGGGTCACCACACCTTAGGCAAGGGGAGAGACTAAGAAGATATGACTTCATGTAGTCTCAGTCAGTGCAGGAATTGAACACAGGCTGTTAGCATCACTCTCCATGCCAAACCAGCCATTCAGCCAACTGTGCTAACCAACTTCCATACTGAGCTATTGACTGTGAGACATACCTGGCCTGCATGTGATTCTAGGCCCATAGCAATGTGCTTGACTCTTAACTAACCTCTGAGATGAACTAGCAAGCCACTCAGTTTAAGGGCAATTAGGGATAGGCAATAAATACTGGCCTTGCGAGAGACACCAATGTCAAGGAAGAGAAAACGAAGTTAATCTGGCTCAGATATATAAAAACATAAACAGCACGCTCAATAAAAATATGAAGGATTAAAAGGTTTGTGCATTCATTGGGTCTCTTTGGGAAAAGCTATGCTGCAGCTGCTGTTTCTGACCATCATTTTGTAGTAAAGGATCATGTTTACTCACTTGCAGAGTTTCCTGATCAGATCCTCAGGTCGCTTGGAAATTCGCTTCGGAAAGTCCACTTTCTCCATTCCTCTCAAAATCATGTTGTAAATTTGAATTGGATCGGGTCCCGTAAAAGGAGGGCTACAAAGAAAGAGAGAGGCCGGATCAATACTCAACCCAGGTTCAGGTCAGAAGTCACACGACAGCAGGTTATGGTCCAACAGCTTTATTTGAAATTGCAATCTTTCGAACTTTGTCCAACACCAGCATCTCTACATCATGACGACCTGGGTCTGTGTGTATCGCAGTGTATTCAACTGAGTGCAATCTTTACTGAGGCAAATGTAGGAAAATCGTTCAAACTGAGAAACACAGGAAGTATCAATAAAGTTCCTGAATAATACAGATCAGCAGGCCACACCAGCAGTAAGGATAATTAAGAAAGAAAGTACTGGATCTATTGGGAAAAACATGGAAAATGTATCAATATCTAGGGGAGAGGATACAGCTGGGAATTTCAGGTCGGATCAGAATAGCTGGCATGTTGCTCTTCATTCTTTGAAAGAAGGTAAGGCCATTTATCAGTATGAAGCCCTCTCTGGTTGCCATGAGAGTATAACCTGGAATGTCAGAGAATGTGGTTTGGGGACGGGGAATCTCGGTTCAAAAACCATTGGCCCAATCTTCACTGTACAAAGCAGGAAGGAAAGATCTTCAGTGACGTTTCCTACTGATTCTGTTTGATGGTCAGTAGGCAAACCTCCACAATTGAGCAGCTCTTTGGAGCAAACACCATGTGTGTTCTCATTTTTAGTGACATAATGAGCAGGGGAATAATAATGGCCATGTGGCCTCATCCAATTCAAACATAGTGCCCAGAGATCCTACCACTACCTCAGATAACCCGCCCATTCCAGGTAGTGGCTTAGAAAACCTTCTCTGAATTCCCTCCCATTTCCTGGTTTAATTGCTGCCTCTGCGATGTTATTGGTGTCCTCTACAGTGAAGACTGATGCAAAAAACCTGTTCAGTTCATCTGCCATTTCCTTATTCTCAATTATTAATTCGCCAGTCTGACTTTCCATAGAACCCATACTCACTTTGATAACTTTTCTACTTTTTAGATAATTATAGAAACTCTTGCTATTTGTCTTTTTTTAATTTTTCTGGCTATCTCTCTCTTGTCCTCTAATTTTCTACTCTTTATTAATTTTTTGGTCATTCTTTGCTGTTTTTATATTCTGTCCCATCTCCTGATTTATCACCTGTCTTTGTACAATTATATGCTTTCTCCTTCTGCACTGTAAGGATTCTAAGATATTGTTAATCTATGACATTACCTGAGGATGGTAGGTTCGTCTTTTGGAATTTTTCTTATAATGTATTAATTCTGCACATTTTGAAATACCCCCTTAAATATCTGCCACTGCATCTCTAGTGACAAACCCTTTCAGCTAATTTGCCATTCACTTCAGCCAACTCTCCTTTAATGACCATATATTTGTCTTTATTTATAGTTAAAGAAAAGGTTATAGACCCACTCCTCTCTCCCGCAAACTGAAAATAAAATTCAATCATATTATGGCCACTGCCACCCAGGTGCGCCTTCACTATTAATCCTGCCTCAGTGCACAATGTCAGGTCTAGTCATCTCCTGTATGCACTGTTCTCAGAAGCTATCTTGAAAACATTCCATGAATTTATTATCCAGGCTACCTTTGCCCCCCTGACTTTTCCAGTTGACATGCAAAGGAGATGGTGGTTAGGGAGGAGGTTCATATACAGCAGAAAACCCAGAACAGAATTGATGGGCTGAGTGGCCTGTTTCAACACAGGTTGGCACACCCTGTTTGCATGGACAATGGCCATTGGTCAGGTGTTTTTTGTGAATTTTGATGTGTGATTAATGACAGCTGTCAGTTAAAGAGGAGAACAATGTTTATCCAAATCAATGTAACCCTTCACCAGGGTTTTCACTGAGGAACTGCTGCGATAAGAACAATTCTCAATCCTTGCAGAATCAAATCCCAGTGTAACCACAATGTCCAGCCACTTCTCAAAACCCCAAGCTGGCCTCATTAATATCACACCTCAGTGTTAGAATCTGAGGGCTGTGAAAGAGGGGCAGCTTTCAGAAAATGAATAATTTATCACCCACTTCATTAAAATACAGAAAGTCAATTATCAGATGGAGGTCTTGTTGAAGGAGCCTTCGAAAAGTGGTACTTTCGTATGCTGGTGTCTGATTCATTCTGTACATCAGTTTACCAACAAAACACACATCTGGATCCCATTGTGAAGCAATGATTGCCATGAGAGAGCTGTTTCTAAATAAATAGCACTTTCTAAAGGCAATCTTGTTAGTGATCTGCCAGTGGGTTGATGATGGCAGCCCAGTGATTGGACTCTTCCATGCACATAATTATTAATGGCAAATCTCTCTCCGATCAGAAACTGATGATTGAGTGACACCAATGCTGTTGGAACAAATGACCTAAACTGACCTGTTTCTTTTTGTGAACAGTGGAAGTGAAAGCTGTGACCTGAGAGTATGACGATGATAAAGTGCACATGTACAGAGTGATGGGGAAAAGGTTGGGCAGCTTTTTCTGAGAGAGCCAGCAAAGACAGGGTGGGCCAAATGGTCTCCTTCTGTGCAGTAAGATTCCACCATTCTCTTGTATGAAGTAAACAGGATGAAAATTCCCATCTTTTCTACCATCACACAAAGTGTAGAAAGCCCCTCTATGTCAAATCCTGTGCTGATGCTGGGAAATACTCTTGTATTTTTGAAACTGAGTGCGGAGACAGATTTCAAAGAGTGGGCGAACTCTGCTCAGGGATTGGGTTTTCACATGACTGTCTTCTTTTTGGCTCATCAGATATTCACATGTGGATAAAATGACAAATGTTGAGAGCAAGTGGCCAGGAACATTTGCTGCTCCTTCATCCAGGCTCCCGGCCCATTGTCCCCACAGCACAGGGACCTTTCAGGGCACAGCCTCCATGTGTGGTAGGTACCAGGACAGCATGTCACTTTGTGCAGTCTGGGGACATTACTCAGCTTCTGCTCATTAACCCCCACCCCCCCTCCCCTGGAGATCTCAGAAACCCGACAAGAAGCACAGTTCAGAGACACCTCCTGAGATGTTCCATGGAAGGTCGCCCAGGAGAGGAGGGAAGTTAATTTCCCTAAAGATGGCAACTAGAGGCCATCTCAATTGACAAAGGCAACAGGCCAGAGGTGACTCTGAAGGTCGTTTAAGGGCCTGTGGCTGGCTCAGGGGGCCCGAGCCAGGAAACTGATCCTGAGGTTCTTGCTACAAAGGAAAGGCTGGACAGGCTGGGACTGTTTTTACTGGAGCGTAGGAGGTTGAGAGGTGACCTGATAAAAGTTTATAAAATAATGAGAGATATAGATAGAGTGGATGGTAGTTGTTTTTTCCCTAGGATGGGGGATTTCAAGACTAGGGGACACCTTTTTCAGGTGAGAGGAGAGAGATTTAGAAAAGACATAAGACGCAACTTTTTTACACAGAGATTGGTTTGCATGTGGCATGAACTTCCTGAGGAAGTGGTGGATGCAGCTACAATTACAATGTTTAAAAGACATTTGGGTGGATATATGAATAGGAAAGGTTTGGAGGGATATGGTCCAGGAGCAGGCAGGCGGGACTGGTTTAGTTTGGGATTATGTTCAGCATGGACTGGTTGGACCGAAGGGTCTGTTTCCATGTTGTATGACTATGACTCTAAAAAAGACTCAAACTAACTCACAGCCTATGCTAAACAAAGCAGCCAAATGTTTTAAAGTTACAAACCAAACATTCCCAGATGTCTCTGCGCCCAAAATCAGCCCATAGCTCTGACAAAGAACTGGGAATGCTTGAAATCTGAAACAAGAACAGAAATTGCTGGACAAACTTAGCAGGTCTGGCTGCATCAGTGGGAAGAATGCACAGTTAGCATTTTGGGTCCAGTGTCTCTTCTTCAAAACTAAAGATGGATCACTGGACCCAAAATGTTAACTCCGCTCTCTCTCCACAGATGCTGCCAGACCTGCTAAGTTTCTCCAGTGATTTCTGTTTCAGTTTTGTTGTTTTGAGTGTTCACCCACATCATGGCCTGTTAATCCTGAGAGGCTTCCCGCTTCTCACTGGGCAGAGGTTTACAGAGTCAGAGTTCAGTCCTGAAGAAGCTGAGTAATGGAAGAGTCATAGAGTTATACAGCATAGAAACAGGCCCTTTGGCCTGTCATGTCTATGCTGACTAACAAACGCCAAACTACATTAATCCTATTTACCTGCACTTGGTCCATACTTTACTATGCCCTGGCTCATCCAGATGCTAAAGAGGTTTGTACCCACTGGAGCTCAGAGGAAGACATCCGTCCTGCCCCATAGACACTTCATGGATACTGTCAAGTTTGTGAACAAATGTGTTTGCCAGCTTTGACTAAAGGAGATTACGCCCGTGAACAGATGGTTTCAGCAGGTTGGGATGTTAATGAGTATGGTTCATGCAAATGAGTATAAAAGAGGTTCCTGGTCATGTAGGGTGGGAAAGGTAAACCACCAATAGGTTTGGAGCAGTTAATGGCAAAACCTGAAGGTGCCACTGGGAAACCAAACTTTCACCTCCCGCCCAATTCAGTTAGCCTGCCTTCACCCTCCTAAACAGTCTGGCAGGGCCCAGAAGGTTCCACTTAGTGTCTCAGTACTCACTTTCCAGTCAGCAGCTCAAAGACCAGGATCCCCAGAGACCAGTAGTCTGCCCCAAAGTCATGGCCTTTGTTCATGATGATCTCAGGGGCAACATACTCCGGGGTTCCACAAAATGTCCACGTTTTCTTGCCAAGACCAATCCGCTTCGCAAAACCAAAATCAGCCTAAAAGGAGAGATGGAGGGTGGGGGAGTGAGAGAGAGAGAAGGGGAGAGAGAGAGAAAAATGGGGAGAAGACATAAAGGGGGAAGAGAAGGGGCAAAGAGAGATAGAAAAAGGAGGGGATGGAGAGTGCGAGTAAAAGAGAACAAATTTGGAGATATAGGGTTGAAAGAGTGAGAGACACAGAAAATTGGGGAGAGAGAGAAAAGCAAAGGGAGCGTGGGAGGGCAGAACAGAGAAGGAAAGAGAGAGGAGTCAGGAAAGGGAAAAAAATAGGGAGAGAAAGGGGGGGGGGGGGGGGAGGGGGCGGTGGCAGCAGAGAGAGAGACATTACAATATGATAGATATAAGCAGGAGAAGGCCACTCAGCCCCACCTAACCTGCGCCATTATCCAATCTGACTTTGGCTGATCAACTGCCTCCACACTCTCCTGTCTGCTCTTCATATCCTTCCATTCTGTGAGAAACCAAAAATCCTTTCTGTGCCAGCCTTAAAAATATCAAATGACAGAGACTTCACAGATCAGTGGAGGATAGAATTCACAGATAGAGTCACAGCCTACTGAGTGGGGAAGAGGAGAGGAGCTTTCTACCAGTTAGTGACATAGCATCGGTTACATCCATAACCTCTGTTAAAGGGTCACTGGACCCGAAATGTTAACTCTGATTTCCCTCCACAGATTCTGCCGGACCTGCCAATCTTTTCTGGCAATTTCTGGTTTTGCCTCATTTAGTAGCATGTTCAAGAGGTAGCTGTGAGTTTCCTGTGGCACATTCATAGATCATAGAATCACCACAGTGTGGAAACAGGCCCTTCGGCCCAACAAGTCCACACCAACCCTTGCAACATCCCACCCAGACCCATCCCCCTGTAACCCACCCAATCTACACATCCCTGAACACTACGGGCAATTTAGAATGGCCAATCCACCTAGCCTGCACATCTTTGGACTGTGGGAGGAAACCGGAGCACCCGGAGGAAACCCACGCAGACACAGGGAGAATGTGTAAACTTCTCACAGACAGTCGCCCGGGTTTGGAACTGAACCTGGGTCCCTGGTGCTGTGAGGCAGCAGTGCTAACCACTGAGCCATACAAATCCACAGCCCTCCACCTCTCAGACCACAGTGTGACTTGCTGAGGTATTGAAACACTGACCTCAGGACCTCCACACCTGCTTATTCTGTCAATGAACCTCAATCTCCATTCGCTGGCTTCCCACGCTTCTGCTGTTGGAAACAGGTCCTCTTTATATCTGCCTTCAAAACACTTCACAATTCTGAAACAAAGACTGATTCGGGATTACAATGGGATTTCTGCAGTGTGTGCAGTTTTAATATTCACTTGCTGTATTGTTTGTGCAATGAAAGCTTCTGTGTTCTTGTTTACAATGTGGATGTCAGGCGTTCTATTTAAAAAGAATCTCTAGTGGTCTGCTCACTGCCCACAGAACTTGCTAATATGAAGCTGACAGTTGCTTGTGCAGGCATGACTGATTCTCTGAAACATCAGGTGAGAGGACAAACAAATCGAGACTTTTGTAAATATTCCACTGTTTCTGGATGTTACTGTGATTCTGCACATGGGTGCAGACACTTCATTGGATGATGTAATAACAAATCTCCTTAAAGTGACAAACAAAGGTATTCACCAAGGCTCCTTAGACAGTACCTGTCAGACCCACAACCATTTCCAACTGAATGGACAAGGGCAGCAGATACACAGGAACACCACCTGCAAGTTCCCCTCCATGCCAATCACTGTACTGACTTGGAAATATATTGCCATTTCTTCACTATCACTGTGTCAAAATCCTGGAACTCTCTCCCTAACAGCACTGCACCTCAAAAATTGCAGCAGTGCAAGAAGGCAGCTCACCACCACCTTCTCCAGGGTAACTAGGGACAGTCAGCAATCCCCACATCCCACGAATGAATCAAAAACACAGGCACTTCATTTGGGGTTCCCACTGCACCTGTTTAAAAACCCAGCATAGAATCAAACTCAGCACAACAGATGACCAAAGATTACCTGGAAACTTATGAACACATTTCAAATGTGGATGTCAATCCCTTGGGAAATGAGTGCCTGCCCTGCGAATGGAAAGTGAACACGATTGTCTCTTGCTGTCAGGGAGGTCTGCTCACATCTGAAAATGGATGGGCTACCAACCCACTAGGAACGTTCTTTAACATTCAGAAATAATTGAAGACAAGCCTCGCACATTACTGGGGTGAGCCAACCGAGGAGAAATATCATAAAGACAGTGAACAAAAAAATGGTTTTGCTCATTCTCTATTGACACTTAATATATCAGAGGTGGGGGAAGCTTCTGGTTGGCCATGGCTGTGGTGATCTGGTCAAAATTCCTCAAGTACAACCAATCAGGGTTGGGAATTCTAACTTCAAAAGACCCTTTTCCTCAAGTTTGTGTTCAGAAAAGATCCCTCCAGATATTTGTGATTGAAGGACATTCATGTTGTTTGATAGACAAATGTTGGGTCTCTCAGGGAATGAAACAATATGGGACTGGGTGGGAAAGTGAAGATGGAGCAAAAGATCTTATTGAATGGTACAGCACACTCGAGGGCAGAATGGCCTACTCATGCTCCTATTTCTTCAGCTCAGATGGATGAATATTGTGTTCAGAGGGAGGTAGACTCCACCAGACATACCATTTTCACATATCCATCTTTATCCAACAACAAGTTCTCCGGCTTGAGATCCCGGTAAATGATTCCTCGATTGTGCAAATAATCAAAGGCTTCGACCACACAGCCCACACAAAACCGAGCCGTCGACTCATCGAAGAAGCACCTGAAAATGAATGTACAAATTCTGCTTTGGCAGCAAGTCAAATTTTTTTTTGGCAATTGCTCCCAAGAGTTACCTTGGGATGTCTTACTATGTGAAAGGCGCTATACAAATACAAGCCATTGTTGTAGCTGCTTTGCATCTGTCTGTCATTGCGAATGAGTCTGTCTCTGCCTACAGTATCTAGCAGTTGACATTGGAAGGCTTGTTAACACTGAATGATTTGTCAGTTTGAATGGTGAAGAAAAAGGTGTAATGTGTGTGGAGATTGTTAATTCTCCCCCTGTAGAGGCTATGTTTGTTTAGTGTTTAACATATATCTGTAAGGAATTACTGAACAGCGGTATCCATCAATCAGGACCTGTCTGACAGTGTAACAGGGATTTAACCCTCCTGACAGTTTCAAGGGTACACTAGCCTCATGGACTCCCAATTCGAAATACAAAGGTGTGGGAAAGTGAACACACATGTCCATTTACCTATTCATAGTTTGGTTGCTGGGAAGTCAGTTTATCACCTCAGAAATGTGCATTCCAAAATCCTAATCAGCTTCAATAGGTATTCAGCAGAACCAGTGACAATTACTTTACAGAAATTATTCAACTGAATCCCAAACTTTGTGAAGTAAGCAATTCAACTAGTTCGTCCTTTGACCTAGATTGTTAAAACAAATGCCTTGGTCGTTGTCTCATTGTAGTTTGTGGGATCTTGCTGTGCACAAATTAGCTGCTGTGTTTCCTACATTATAACTGCGATTCCACTTTGAAAACATGTCAGTTGGCTGTAAAGAGTGTCTGGAATATTGCACGGAGGGAAAGCTACAGTAGAAAAGTCATTTATAAGTTTTCTAACGACACCACCGTAGTGGGATGGATATCTAACAATGACGAGTCAAAACACAGAAGGGAGATAGAGGGCTTGGTGACGTGGTGCAATGAGAACAACCTCTCTCAATGTTGGCAAAACTAAAGAACTGATCATTGGCTTCAGAAAGAAAGGAGGAGAATGCGCCCCCATCTACATCAATGGAACTGCAGTTGAGAAGGTGAAGAGCATCAAGTTCCTCAGAGTGATGATAACCACTGGACTGGACTTCCCAGGTAGATGCAATAGTCAAGAAGGCACAATAACGCCTCTTCTTCCTCAGGCAGCTCAGGAAATTTGGCATGTCCATAAGGTTCCTCACCAACTTCTACAGATGCACCATTGAAAGCATACTGTCCGGGTGCATAACGGCCTGGTATGGCAACTGCTCTGCCCAGGACCATGAGAAACTACAGAAGGTGGTGTGCTCAGCCCAGACCATCATGGAAGCCAACCTTCCATCCATGGACTCCATTTACACGGCTCACTGCTGCGGAAAGACGGCCAACATCATCAAAGACCCATCACACCCCGGTAATGATCTCCTACAACCTCTTCCGTCAGGCAGAAGATACAGAAACCTGAACACACACACCAGCAGGTTCAGGAACAGCCTATTCCCAGCCATTATTAGACTGATGAATGGACTCTAGCCTCAAATAGTGCTGATGTCACTAATGTTGATCTCGTCTAGCACATGCCCTGTGCAATGTAACCTGTAATGCTCAGTCTAAGTCTTTTTGATCTGCACATCCTTTGCTTACTATGATCTGCCTGTACCGTTCGTAAACAAAGCTTCCCTCCTTCCCTCCTTCCCTCCTTCCCTCCTTCCCTCCTTCCCTCCTTCCCTCCTTCCCTCCTTCCCTCCTT